GCTAATGCATTAGCTTAAAGCTTAAAATAAAGAATTCTTATGTTTTGGGCAGCTTGGATCACGTAACTCTCCCGCAGCATCTCATTCTTTTTCCTCCACTATTTTTAGATGCATTTTGTCCATAGAAATGCGTAATTCAGTGCTGTAATTTGACACAACCGGCTGAAGTTGGACGTGCACTGAGGGCAGACCCGACTAATCGATAATGAGAATCGTTGTCGATGATTTTCATAATTTGCGCTGAGGACGCACACGCATCTGTTAAACCGCCTGACAGGGCAAGCCACTACGCTAATGCATTAGCTTAAAGCTTAAAATAAAGAATTCTCATGTTTTGAGAAGCTTGGATCACGTAACTCTCCTGCAGCATCTCATTCTGTTTCCTCCACTATTTTAGATGCATTTTGTCCATAGAAATAAGTAATTCAGTGCTTTAATTTGACGCGACCGGCTGAAGTTGGATAAGTATGTAAACTCCGTTGGACGTGAAATGTGGGCAGACCCGATTAATCGATAATGAGAATCGTTGTCGATGATTTTCATAATCGATTTTATCGATTAGTTGTTGCAGCCCTAATTAATTCATTAATTCATAAAAATAAATAAATACAAACATACATAAGAACACAATCACGATGTTCATGTGTGTTTTGTGTAGGATTGTGCAGTTTTACAGATTGTGACTGGCTTGTGAAGTTTGTATCAAATATGCAAGACAAGAATGCAAAAATTAATTATTTTGGAAATTAAAAAAAATACGTTAAAAAAGAAAGAGAAATAGAATTTCAAGGTCATTAAGAAATATTTACACATCATGGTACACCTTCTTAGTTTTCTCAATTAGCAAGTGTGAAAAACAAGTTAATTTTTGGAGCCTGGTTGTATTCATGTGTTTTCATGTGAAACAGCTTCACATTTCAAATGAAGGAACCCAATTAAAGAGTTTGATGTATTTCACTCTTTCTGCGTGGGTTTCTTTTGTTAATGAAACCTGATGAAAATGTTTCTCCACTCTGTATATCACGGTCCTGTTTGCTCTGCGTAAAATACAATCCTGGGGACGTTTATATGGAAGCCCAGTAGAAGTGAAGATCAGGGATCATGAGAGGCTCCACGCTCATCCATCTCTTTCTGTCTCTCTTTGTAGAATCCCAGTGCCCTCTGTGTGATTGCCAAGGTATCTCCACGGCTGCGGATCCTGGCAGTGTGGCACTGGAACTCTGCCATTTAACGGAATTAAAAGGGGATTTAGGGAGATGCGTGTGTTTGCGGGGGGATTGGTGGCCAGCAGAACTGTGCACCAGAGTGTTACTTAACATGTTTACTAACACACTAGCCAGGAGGCAATTACGTCCCATAGTTCATCCCGACCTGTTCTGATTGATAGCTACTCTCAATTGGTTCCCGAGCGTCTGATTGTTGCTGGGTTAATGAGACGGCCCTATCCGCCTGGCTCCAGGGGACGCAGCCTTTTCAGAGCTGTTGGTCTTGTGTGTGTGTTATTAGATGCCATATTGGGCTAAGCTTATTTGGATAATCAGAGAGGCCCTTTCCTCTCTCTCTCATTAGTTCACTCTCTCTCTCTCTCTCTCAGTAATTGTTGGCTGTGTTGTGCTGTGCTCTGCAGTGCATTATGTAAATGCATAAACCCTCTGGTGCAATGGTTGCACAGTGCCAGCTAGTGTATGACAGTATCTGCCGGGGCATTGACCGGCATGGGCTTGGGATGGGGGTGGGGTGGACTGCGCTGTCGTCGTCATGGCAGCCCGTGACTCACAGTTGTACCCTGTGCTACTTAAGTCACGTGACCCCTCCGTGAATAACTCCTTCAGCGACCTCAGCAGTGCCGCCCACTGAGAATGAGCATTCACACCTGTTTTATGCAAAACAAGATGCACATACATGCATGTAAAGCAGCGTGTCATGCTTCACTCTCATAACAAAAAAATGCATTTTTTTCAGGTATGCTCATAATAATAATAATAATAAAAAATTATAAAAACAAAATTATAAATAAACAGTTCATTCATTTTAATCAAAATGAACAGTACTACCATAAAATGCATATTATGGACACCAACATAACATTTTCATTAAAATCCTTTAAATAAATTATGACAAAGTTAGCAACGTGCACATGGTGTTTGGATTCCACATGTAAAAATTATTTTTTAAAACTATTTTTTTAATATTTAAAAATATTCACATAACTTTGTCTAAATATTGTGTAGTTTCCCGTTAATTTATTACTTTTAATTATAATGGGAATAAAATAACATATAAATGAAATATATATATATATATATATATATATATATATATATATATATATAAATAAAAAACTCTTTATATGTGGGGACGTGTTAGAACGAGCCGTTTTAGGTAGGCGTGGCTGACTCTTAACTTTTATAAAGAACATCTCTTTGGATTTGAGACTTTAGTCTTTGCAACTTTACAGATCTTCTTTATGCACCAAGAGCTTGTAACACTCCAAAGAGAAAGGAAAAATTGAAATCGCATCATATGACCCCTTTAATATTTTCAAATACTTAAAATGTAACATTTAAATACGTTTAAATAACTTGAGTATTTATGTTTTCTTCATAATAATATTTTTATTCTGCTGTATTGTAATGCATTTAGGGTCTTTAGCATGAATTTTAGTAGTTTGATTTGCTGTTAATTTATTACTCTTAATAATCTGAATTGAAAATATAGATGACTTTCGTAATTAAAACGTCACTTTGTTCATCAAGAATTTTTTGACAACTTTAATATTTTTTTAACATTTAAATTATAAATAGTTTTAAATATTTAAGTTAAATATTTAATAGTTGAATATTTAATATTTAACTTTTAATAACTTGAATATTAATGTTTCCCTAATAATACATTTTATGAATAGATTTAATACATTATTTCATTAAAAGATTACTTTGTGGATCATCATGGTGTTTGGATTCCACATAAAAATTATTAACAAATATTTGTTTAATATTATTCACATACTGTAATTTTTACATTTTGTGTAGTTTCCCATTAAAAAGTAACAAAAATGTTTTGTTACTTTTTAAGTCAATAAAGGACAATACAGTGTAAATACAATGCACAACATTACAATGGTCAGTGATAAACTGACATGATTGTCAGGTAAACAATGCGGGAAGACTGACATATGAACTTGTTGTTAGACCGCATTAAATGGTTCGACAAGCCAAGTTTTCTATCCTGTGTTGACATATTTCCTACTTAGACAGGAAGGTTGGGTGAACATATGAAAGGGCTTATCTTTTTTTTAGTTGGCTTTATTGGCAAACAATTATTGTTTTGCAGTGAGTGTAAGCTTTATCTGTGCTGAAATTGTTCAGTTTAATTCATTAAATTACTATGTCATTGAATCGATCAGCAGGCAGTTATAGCTTCCACAGAGCTGACCCAGATTAAGAAGAGCAGGAAAGATGTTTCTGCCTCAGGTCTGTCACACTCACTGTTCTTCCACATCAGAACATCCCTCTTCATGCCTCGGCCTCAGGAGAACAGAACACACTGCGGGGCTTCGCTCTGGCTCCGGCTGGACCATGTGGACAGAGTGTGTGTTTTGTGTGTGAACGTGGGCATGTATTTATGTAGTAGTGGGAATAGGACATTTGCTCAGCACGCCGCGGCCTCCAACCTGGCAGGACAGCTCTGTGATGCAAGCTGTGTCTCTGCAGTGCTGCTGTCTTTCCTCTCTTTCTTTACCTTCCTCTCTCACTCACTTTTTCCAGGTTGAAAACAGTGGAGATTTTGCATGTATACTGTGGTTGAAATATTAAATATTTACATGGCAGTCAGTGTGCTAGATTGGTTTTAAGTACATAAAAGAGGAGTAAAATCACAAAATAGGTAGCTGACACATAACCTGGCCGTAAACATTTATTTTGTTCAGCATAAAGATTTTAGGTTCAAATTTACTAATGGATAAGGAAATGTATTTTTCTCTTTTAAGCTTTGAGTTAGCATTTTTACTCAAATTATAAATTAATTCTGAATGGTGCTGTGGTGGGACAAATTAATATTTTAAGTACAAATATTACATGTAGTCTCTCAATAAAATATGAGGGAAACATGCATTTATAATAATTGTAGAATTGAAAAGATTCCATGGTAATATAAAATTCAACAGATGTGTGGTGGTCACAAGTGTTTGTATATTGGTTACTTCATAGTAGTTTCATTTGTGGCATTTTTTTTTTTTTTAGAAATTATTACTTTTATTCAGCAAGGACACATTAAATTGTTCAAAAGTGACAGTAAAGACATTTATAATGTTACAAAAGAAATGCTGCTATTTTAACTTTCTTTTAATCAAAGAATCCTGAATATCATGGTTCCACAAAAATATTATATTTATTTTGTAATATTATGTTGTTTTCAACATAATAAGAAATGTTTTTTTTATTATCAAATCAGCATATTAGAATGATTTCTAAAGGATCATGTGACATTGAAGAAATTCATTAGAAGAATGGAGTAATGGCTGGATTTCACAAGACTAAATTACACTACATTTGAAAGTATATCAACATAGAAAACAGCTTATTTTCTTTTTCTTTTTTCTTTTAAACACAATATTACTGTTTTTTTAGGCAAATGCAGCCTTGGTGAACATATTAGACTTCAAAAACATCTTCATTTGTAAAACCTTTCATTTGTAAAATATTAATTTCCTTGGATTAGCCAATCAGAGGGGAGAGAGAGATGAAAAGAGGCATGGTGCATGTCTGAGACGCAGAATCCACAAAGTAATTTATCCCTTTTATGTTCTGAAAGGATTACATGTTCTTTTGTGTAAGGAGAGTACAACAGAAAATTCAAAGCTATGTTAAAGTTAAAATAAATGTGCAAAGAAAATTATGGTTTTTGCCCTAGACCAACCAGCAGGTGGTATCACCTGAGCTTGTTGTTTGAAAAATAAAAGGAATGTTTTTGAATGTAATTTATCCTTATTTATTTTTCAGATCAGCTGGGCTAAGAGAGAAGACATTGAGAAGACTCAGAGGTGAAGAGCAGGCAGTGGACATCACAGTGTGAGGAGGACAGTGTCTCGGACCACACTTCCTCCAATAAACACTGCAACTGTCACACAGCTGGTTTTAACCAGGCCAGTCATTACGTTTGACCCCACTTTACCGTCTCAGGTGTGGGGAGCCATTTAGTCACGACAGACAGACATTACTGAGATCCTCCCGCCCTTCTCAAGAGAAAACATCACTTTTATATTCACACCTGTTACTAAACCCCAGCAGATTCCTTCATTATACTTTTCGTTTTGTAATCACTGACCAAACCCTCTCTCATGGGAGTAACATAGAGACCAGCCCAGCACAGACACTCTCTGTTCTCTTTCTCTCTCGCATTCACACACTCACACACACTGGTCTGCACCTTGTTCAGGATGCCCTCCTCCTCCAGAGTGATTAGCTGGGGAAGGACGCGGCTCTTGTGGTGATTGGAGGGGGGAGCGGAGCGGAGCTGGACCCATGTCGTGGAAGCGGAACTACTTTGCTTCAGGCAGCAGCGGGCTGCAGGGGATGTTTACCCCACGCACCATGACCTCCATCGCTCCCAGCAAAGGCCTGAGCAATGAGCCGGGTCAGAACAGCTGCTTCCTAAACAGCGCACTGCAGGTAAGACTGAAATTTGCTTTATATCTGTATTATGTTTATGGGTTTTTCTTTTACAGATGCTGTTCACACAGGGTCCATGCCAAGTGGCAAACGCAAGTAAAAATTGGCTTTGAGAAGTGAAAAGTAAACTGAACTGTTGGCCTGTAGCTTTATTATAAACTGCAGCATAATACTAGCAGGGTTCCTTTGGTCATGGAAAACCTGGGTATATCAGGGAATAAAGTTAGGATTTCCAGGCCGTAAAATATTAAAGAAATAAAAAAAAAAAAGAGAAAAACTATAGACATTTCAGTGAAAATATGTATTTTTTTAAATTATGAAATTATCAAAATATTTTATTGGCTTGATATTGACAATTGTAGATATTTATCAGCTACATGTCTTTTTTTCTAAATAAAAAAGTAGTTTAAAAGTCATGCTCACCAAGGCTGTATTAATTTAATTGAAAATACAGTAAAAACTATTTAAAATAACTCTTATTATTGTTAACATTATTACTGTTAATATATGATCTTTCAGAAATCATTATAATATGCAGATTTGGTGCTCAAGAAACATTTTTTTTTGTTATTAATAGTTTTCAATAGTATTTAATTGTTTTTTGGTTAAAAAAATTACATACTGTTGCTACTGCTACTCTTACATTATTACTATTATTTATCAATATACATGTTATAGTACATTTAAATTCATATTTGGAAAAAATCACAATGTGTCTTTAAACTTTACCAGAGAAAAAAGAGAGAAACAAATTGATTCTATAGGGCCTTAAAAATGTTATTGTTACATTTTTTTGTTTTGAGTGAGTTGTGTAAGTTTTATGATTTAAATTATTTAGACATGCTTTTTGATTAATAACATTTAATTTAACCATTAAAACAGTCTAGAAAAAAAAAAAAAAAAACCGGAACCCAGAAAAATTAAAATGGAAAAAACAAAACAAAACTGAATTTGGGAAAAAATTCAAACAGATTTCATAGGACCCTACTGATAAAAACATTTACATTTTCTCAGTTCACTCAGTTTTGGTAGTTATGGCAAAAGGCTCTTTCTTGGACCTTGTGAACAGCTCAGAACAAATGTGATCGCTCACAGAGAAGTTGTTGCGCTGTTGAAGCAGTATTAGTAGTCTGGGATGGCTGTAGAGTTCATTCAGAGTGTTATGGATTTCTCTCGGTTTCTCTCTTCCATTCTATCTTTTTCATGCTGCTGTATCTGATGTCACTGTTGGTCTCTGCCGGTCCCAGTTTAGCAGAGCTTTATCTGGGTCTTCCTTGTAGGCTGTCCTCACTTACACCAATCTGTCTGGCCAAACAGTCTGTCTGCTCATAAATTAAACATCCCTCTCTGTTACCTACCCAGCATAGCCTTGGACGCTTCTCCAAAAGTCATCTGACTTCCATACGGGATACTGAAAACAACATTGGTCTAGTTAGTAGGTCTTTTTGTTCTTATATTACACACATCTATACATACACACCAGGCAACATTTGTCATCTCATTTAATTTAACTTCATGTACTAAAATAATCAAAACAAAAACTGAAATAAAATGTGTTTATTACACAGTATATATAGATGTATATGTACAAATACTGCACATGCCCAGCTGAGGAAGATACGACTAAAAAAAGTAAGTGAGGAAAAAGAGAAAGGGTGAAAAAAAAAGTTATCAAATCATAACATTTTTATTCTCCCCACTTTAGAGGAATCCTTAATAATCACTTTATAGTCGCTGTAACAGCGCTGGACAGGGATGAGGGAGCAGAATTATGCTGGAGGGTGTTTTTCATTTTTCCTTTTTGTTCACTCGCAACTTACTTGAAAGAGCTAAATCAAATCACGGATCCAGTGAAGGCAAACTAACTTCCTATCAGACGTTAGACAGAAATTCTATTAGCGAGGCCCCTCTAGATTAGCTCATCATGTGTGAGATACACTAGCATTGCAGCTGATTCTCCAAAGGATCTTATGCATCATCTGTCCTGAGTGTGCTGTTGTAAATGGGTTAACGTGGACCCTCTAGGGTGCTTCATTCAAAAGCCAAGTCCAGCACTAGTATGGATCTGTTTGAGATTTTCTGAAATGAGCTCAGCGATGGATGCACTCATTTTCAGACGGATCAGGCCAGCCAGGTGCGTGGGAGCAAAAGGTCCGGGCTTCATCTCACAGTTGAGACTTATTAATAGGTAATGAAAAATAAAAATGGGCTATTATACTAATCCTGTGGTCTGAACACAGTGCTGGAAAGAGGCTTGGCTAAATGGGTTCTGTGTCATGAGGACCAATATGTACTTAGTTTTTGTTTTTTTTCCCGAGAATTAAAGGGATAGTTCACACCAAAATTAAAAGTTGTGTCATCATTTATTTATTCGCCCTCTTCTTTTATGTTCAGCAGAAGAAATAATGCTCATTCAGGTTTGGAACAACTTGAGGGTGAGTAAATAATGACGGAATTTTCATTTTTGGGGGATACTGTCCCTTTAAGTGGAACACAAAAGATGATTACTGTTTTTTAAGAAGATTGGGGTCAAAAAATAACATTGGCCCCTACTATAAATATCTTTTTTTTGTGTTATGCCGAAGATAGAGTCAGGTTTGGGACAACATGAGAGTGAGTTCATTTATGGGTGAACTAGTTCTTTAAGTCTGCTGTATTGGAAGGCAGGTTGCTCCGAGACCTACGAAGCTCTACATAATATCAGTTTGGAAAGGGTCTCGACAGACTCCTCCAGAGATTAGGTGTTTAATTTAAGCTTGGAAGTTGAGTTCAAAATTTCCCCCTTCATGCACATTCTCATCCCACTGCGTCTTAAGTAACACGAAAGGCTCTTAATTTAGCAAGATGTTTTTTTGCTCTGAAATCTGGAAGAGGTTCAGTTGAGAGCCCAGGGCTTACTTTACAGTTTCCTGAGATAACCTTGCTGAAATAATTAATACACTTTTTAATCATGTACTTATTATGAAGTGTCTAATCATATCTTATTTTTTTCTCTTCATGAAGAGTCTAATCATATCTCATTTTAAATGTCTGCAGAAGTACCTAAACTACTGCAGGGTCATTCTGTGAAGTGGGTGCCTTTTCCTCAAAGTACTTTTCAAGATTTTTTACAGTCTGTTAGACAGATAATGTGTTTAAATGTTATTAAAGTTACATTGTGCCACCTCAAGCTAAATTAATACATTTATTCAACTGAGATGCATTAAACTGATCAAAGGTAACAGTAAAGACTTGTACATTGTTACACACATTTCAATATCAGATATATGCTGTTCTTTTCAACTTTCTATTTATCAAAGAAAATAATAATGTATCACAGTTTCCACAAAAATATTAAGCAGCACAACAGTTTTCAACATTGATAATAAGAAATGTTTCTTGGGCAGCAAATCTGCATATTACACTCTAAAAAATGCTGGGTTAAATAGAACCCAGTGCTGGGTAAAATAGGGACAAACCCAGCAATTGGGTTGTTTTGACCCAGCTGTTGGGTTACTAACCAGCATTTTTTAGAGTGTAGAATGATTTCTGAAGGATCATGTGACGCTGGAGACTGGAGAAATGGCTGCTAAAAATTCAGCTTTGCAATCACAGAAATAAACTATGGAGAAGTTATTTTAAATTGTATTCATTTTCATAAAATTATTGTCATTACTGTATGTTACCAAATAAATGCTGTCTAGGTGAGCATAAGCAATGAAAACATTGAAAAAATGTCTTACTGACCCTAAACTTGAGAAATTTGATGTAGTGTAATTTTGTATTGCTTTCAACGAAGTGAAAATGCTAGTGCTTAATAGAAAGAGAAAATTGAATTCTGATATTTCTACAGAAATCTTGTAATTTAAAATCATGCTAATATAAAGTTGATAATTAATTAGTAAAAGTTATTAAACTTGAAGAGCTCCTTTCTTAAAAGAATGTTGCTGTTATTATGAGATTTATAAAAAAAACTATTTTATGGAAAAGTCCATTACGTGAAGTCTTTTTAATAATACAGTATCACTTACATAATAGTGAGAGAATGAAGACAAAATACTACCTTTTATTTTCATTTTTTTTTTCATTGAAAAATCTGTTTATTTCTTTATTCTGAAAGATGCTATAAATGCGAGTGGAGACACGACACGACTGTGTTTTGGCATCAGCTATTCATTGTAGAAATTGCGGTATATCTTGTCAATTCGAAGCACAAATTGCACCTGTTTTGTAAAATCTCCCATCAGAGAGGCTAACAATACAGAAATAATTCCCTCTATATTCATTTAGACAACCTGTTTGTTTGAGTATTAAATGGATAGATGGGGAATCATAACGAAGCATATGTTTAGCCTAAAAACAGCCTCCAGCATCACCTGCCCTGTTAGCATACCATGGCATTTTTTCCTTATTCAGCTGCCATTAGTGCTGTTTTACACTGTGCTGTCTGTGTTGCTTGTCTGTCGGAGCACCTGTTCTGAGTGTGTTGTGATTTTTCTCATTAAGACAAGAGCAATAAGCCGCTGTCCACATTAAGCCTTATCAGAGCTCATTTGAATAAACAGCCCGTGTCCTTGACTGAAGCCGGGCCGGGACTGCTGCCGGTAATTATCCCGTTCCACGCCACCTTTGTCTCCCACCTGGCCCGGGTCACGTGGCCTCCCTTCCTTCATTAATTTATTTCCTCTGCCAGCCAACTTGATCAAATCCAGATTTTATGGTGATTGCGGCACTTAAAAAGCCATTTTTCAGCTGTCTTCCCTCATACCAGCTGTGAACGCAATCATTACTGATAGAAATACCTTGAGATGAAAAAGAAATAATGGTGAAGAAAGACCGAGAGGAGCTAATGAGGCATGCCAATGTTTCTTTTACGCCTCACAATGGCTCATTTGCATAATCACAATATCTGTTTTATTACTCAAACTGCAGGACAGAGTGGCTTCTTTCTTTCTTTCTTTCTTTCTTTCTTTCTTTCTTTTACATTCTTCCTTCATCCTCCCTTCTTTCCTTCTTTACAT